ACGTTATCGACATCTCCATAATATTTAAAACCTAACGACAATTTGTGAAAAAGCCTTTGCTATCCGCTGGCAACGGAAATATGCTGGTCCCTGTGGAAAACGCAAGTATATTCAGTGGTCCATGTGGGCCTCTGAAGGACCCCTGAAGCGCACAGATGTATCCAGTCGCCACGGGCTTCGCGCTCATCAGCTGACTGCCGGCGAGCGGCCCAACGCGTCCTTGGCGAGTAACCTTGGAGCTGGTGACCGCACGGTGGAGCAGTGTGCGTCCTCCCCAGCGTCCCAGGTGCTCAGGGAGAGCATGGCCTTTGCATGGAAGCCGGTGGAGCTGTGCAGCAGTCCATCAGCAGTTTGCCGCGGCGGAAGTGGTCCCAATCTCGGCGGGGCCCCGGCTGCGCTGGGCTGGTGGGTCCTGCTCAGACGGACGCGGTCCATCACCAGCTGGTGGCCGTGCAAGACAGACAGAACACCGCCTCAGTCTGTGTGAGACTGTGGCTGTAATGTGATCTGTACTGTGTGCATATCAGACGCGTCGGTTGGTGGATAGGAAGCGTCAGGTTCGAATCCTCCGTTTTCTTCAGACGCCATCTATTTGCGGAGGAAATCTCGGAGTCGCCGGCCTGCTGGGGGGGGGGGGGGGGGGGGGGGGGCTCCTGTCGACTTGGGCTCCCGTCAGCTCGGACTCCGGGCGGCTCGGGCTCCGGTCGGCTCAGGCCCCGGTCAGCTCAGGCTCCTGTCGGTCCAGAGTGCTGTCAGCACGCCAGCTGGAAGCTAAAGATACGGGCTCGTCACGTACATTTCATAGTAACACCTCGCTGATGAGGTAAAGAGCGCTGCTAACCACAACACTGCCTTTGCGATTGGGGTTCTCACTGGGCCACAGGGAAGTCTGGTTAATACAGAGCGTCGGCCGCACGCACAGATGCGCGAGATCCTGCGAAAAACACCTGAGCACCGGCAGCACTGGATGACACGTCGGTGTGATCTGAAATAATGGCCATCATGTGGTCCAGAGGTTGTTGTGATCAAAACAACTCACAGCTGCTGCCGCTGTTTTGCACGTTTTTGGTGTTAGGGACTGAAGGGCGATGACGCATTTGCAATCTGCATAGCATATGACTTATGATCCAATATTTTAAAACGTGGCTGGTGTGCCTTTGCTTCGGGTGGCCGATCTCGTATAAAAGCCGCCCCGCCACAGGCACCATCACAGTCTGCCTGAGAAGTAAGGAGCCTGGACACAGACTAAGCAGTCGAGATGTACTGCGGTAGGTTGTTGTCAGCGGTGGTGACGGTCTGCCTGGTGAAGTCATGTGTCGCTGGACCGGCAGCCAGTCAGCTGCGGCGGCCGTTCGCCGCCTCGCCCGTCGAGTACCAGGCCACGAAGACACCATCTGACGATAGCTTGGCCGGTGAATGGAGCCAGTCCAAGGCGTCGATGGACCTCGATTTCTACACGGACCAGCAGCTGACAGCCGACAGGGAGGAGTTTCAAGACGCGGCCGGCGGCGAGCTCGCTGGCGACAGCGTGAAGGAGCAGGGCTGGAGGATGCCGCCGCCGGGGAACCTGACCGTCATTGGCGGCGCGGCGGAGCAGGGCGCCGGCGCCCGAGACGACTCGGTCACCGGTCTGGACAGGCATCGCGGTCGAAGGCTGATCAGGTGCGGCCGCTTCATCCTCCGTCCGGGGCAATACGTCATCCAGTCCCCGAACCACCCGTCCAACTACCCCAACCGCTTCTACTGTCGTTACTACCTGCGCGCCACCCGCGGCAGGCGCATGCGAATGGTTTGTCCCCGGTTCCGACTGGAGTCGAGCTCCAACTGCCGGTATGACTACTTCTACGTGGCTGGAGCTGGCCGCCACTGCGGAAGACGCCGCCCCGCCGTCTTCAACGCCCGCTCTCTCTACATCGCGTTCAGAACGGACTACAGTATCACGCGCAGCGGCTACCGCTGCTTCATCTGGGCCTGAATGAGGGCTGGACTGTCGGCCGCTGGTGCCGGCGAGTCGCGGCAGTGGTGCGGCCGGCAGGGTCGGCCGCCCCGTCCCCCGAGCTGCTGGCATACGCAGACCCCCGACACCGGCTGGCTGGCGCAGCGTCCGGCTCAGCGCGGCCCGCCGCCGTTGCACCCGGCGAGCAGCGCCACCCGGCTGGTGTTGGGGTGTTCTGGGAGCGGCACCATCCGGAGAACCACTGCTGAAAACACCGACCCGCCCGAATCGGCAGTTTACAGAAGAGCCAACACCTAAATGAAGACTCGGCGATGAGGAGTTTAAGCGCTGTCGATTATGCTGGGCCGCCTATGGTTTGGGTTTGTTTTGTGTCATCAAGAGGGTCCAATAACTGTGTGATTGTTGGGCTCTCTTGACAAGGTTAGGCAAAGCATGAGAAATTGCTGCCATATTTGACTGACCGGAAGTGGGTTTGGGGAACTTTATCTGGATGGAGGTATTAAAAACGTCATATGGTGATGTCTTGTTTGGCTGATCGAAATACACGAAGCTTTGTGATCTTTGGATGGAGGTGTTTCCAAGCCATCACACACAAACGTGGGAGCCGCGCGCTTCAAACCCGTCTGCCCGTCGACTGCGTTACATCGAGCCTGTCTACACCAGCGGTGGTTTCAGTTTAGTTCCGCCCGCCCACGTTGTACTTTCGTATTTTTAGGCGAGCGCCCATATCACACTGATTTCTGGCCTACAGTTTCGGCATGGTCTTTATCGATATCCTGAAAATCTGCGGCGTTTGTTGGTCGACGCTCCACCACACCAGCTGCAGCAGGCAAGTCTTTGTCCGAAGTGTCCTGTAATCACCGAGGTTGCGATAATTGAAATCGACATGCGCGGGTTATTGTAGGTGCACAGGCTCTGTAATAAGAAGTTCCAACTTGCATCCGCCCAGTGTGGCCTATCAGAGAACTCGTGCTAGAACAAGAACATCCCGCTGAAGTAAGCGACCCAAAACATTCCTCAAAGCGCCGAAGCTTGCGTCCTTCGGAGGAGCCCATTTTCAGAGAAGCTAAATACGTAGCTGAGATAAGGTAGCTGTTAGGGATACGTTTTCTCTGCTTTTGGAATCGCAACATTTCTGGATCATTTGTCTTATCATCCTGTTTGTGAGCTGATCTCTACAACAGCCAGAAGAACAAGTCTTCATCCGGGTAAAGCCATAGTTTGTGCCGAATTAAAGGTGAAGTGGAATCGGATGGAAAGATCGCTTCATTGCGAAACGCGATTAATGTAACCCAGTCGAAATGCGAAGAGGTGTCGTCACACAGAACACTACTGTTGGGTCATTTAGAGAAATGGGCAGGTGGGGCAAAGCAAATCAAGGGCCAAAACACCTCACTTGTGATTAGCAGCACGCCTACATTTGTACGAATTCATTCTGAACGGCTCGCATGGCTAATAGCTGGCTTGAGGTTTGCATCCATTCACGATGGAGCACAATTGATTGCATGATTAACTTTTCTCCGCACGTCTTACCATGCACTTAGTGTATAAAGCCTTTTTTAGAGGTCACAGAAAGGTTTATTGGGCTAGCGCCCACTCCCAAAATATTACTGAGGTCCAGTTTTGTTTTGTGTCTTTAGCGTTCAAACACAAAAATAGTCAGATAGATCCAAATGTGACTAGGGTTCAACCGGAGCACAGCGGCCCCTGTGGGGCCTACACCTTTGGCCTAGGTACTTCTGGTTTTCCCAAACAGTGAAGCAGACATCGGTCTGTGAACAGCCTTTAAGAGCTGATATCATACCATAGAAAGCCTGAGAAGTGATGTGGATAGCCATGTCATGGACATACTCGCCATTCGATGCAAGAAATACACAAATTATGCCTTACTTTCATCACTTTGAATTTTTATCAGTAGCTGTTGTATTTTCATCTTGTGTACATGCATTGCTTACGATGCATTCATAGCTTTTATTTGGATGCATATCAAGTCGGTGTGATCAGAACAGTGGGAGCTATGAAACACAGAAATTGGACAAAGCTGATTTATCCTTGCTTATGTGTTGCAGTAACTCCAAAAATTCTCGTCAACCCTGTGCAATTGTGAAAATGCGATAGTTTGGTAGCTACCAACTTTATTCGCTTCAATGTAGCGTGTGAAAGTGTAAAACTGTCTGTGACTTCGGTGAATTATCCGCGTTGCAATCCTTTAGTTCGGATTTGACTAGTTCTCCCATTAGTTATCATCGCAACGCATGACATTCGGTATATCTCCAAACGCCTTTTCTTTGTTCCTTTTCAGCAAGTCTTCCAGTTCACTCCGATAACTGCTAGGAGAACCACTTTTGTCATGTAATGAACGCTGCCGAACGCCTTCACGCACCGTAATCTCCCCGGATTCACTCGCACCATACCCTGTGCAGCAGTGGAAAAGGCTTTGAGGATCTCAGCGCCAGATATTGTGCGGCTGCCTGTACATAAGTAATATCAGTTATAGACATGGAGATATCAAGTCTTAACTGCCCTGCAGTCAGAAGCATCCAAAAATAAATGAAATGAAAGTCTGACACAAGGCGCCGTACGAGAACTGCTGCTGCACTGCGGTGCAGTATTAAACCCGGCGGCGCGGCTCAGGCTGGGAAAGACGAGTCCGCGCCCTCAGCATTGAACAGTGACCCTGCACTCTTCCACAGACAGCGACAACACGCCACCACACAATCGGAGCCTCCTCAAACACCGCCTATAGATAGCCGGCGCATCCGGCCAAACAAGGCGGGCGCCGTTCCATTCCGTTTACTCGGCGGCATCGCGCGAGCACAGCTGCGGTGAATTCGGCCCGACCGTGAAGGGCCGGGTCACCGACGGGACACCCGGCCACCTCAGATGTTCGCCGCCCAGCCCCAAGGTCCGTCTATTTTCGCCGTCGTCGCGTCCGCATCGATCTTCATGGGCGGCGCCTGCGCCGACGCCGGCGCCGGCGCGGCCGGGGAGGGGGCGGCGCGCGCGGCGCCGGTGGTCGGGACGGGGCGGGGCCGGGGCGGACGGGCGCCGGGGTCGGGTCGCCGGCTCCGGTGGCCGACCGACGTCGATCAGCAGCTGACTGGGAGCCACGTCGTCAGGACGGGTGGGCACCGGCGGCCTGCCGCCCAGCCGAGCCGAGCCTCGAGGCCAGCGATGGACGGCCCCACTGCGCAGGTAAGCTGCGCCGCTCGCCGGCCAGGCGACCCTGCACGCTCCGCACTGGCGCCCAGCTCAGGAGATGTCGTTTGGAGGCGAGCAACTGCGCGTTCGAGATGCGGCCGAAGGTGTCTTATTCTTGAAACAGGCCGTCGATATGCTGGCGTGGTGAGCTGAACGAAGTTCAGTAATTCGTTACCAAGTGTCCTCATGGTGATGACGACACGACAAAGACATTATTATCGACCGAAAATGACCACCAACACCTTGATCTGTGTTTGTCCGCGTATGGACATTAGACACACCACTTGGTGGCGTATCTAAAAGGGTGACAGCGGCAGGGTGTCGCAACTGCGCGAATATGCCATTACGTGCCCTTCGCACTCAACGGGCAGCGACTATCTAATCCTGAAATCGATGGACACCATGACACCATGTGTATATTAGTAGAAAACATGCATGGCAGTGGCGATCTGCTCACGCCAGATTCAAGGCCGGTTCGCGGCGTGAGGAGAGGACCCGCCGGTACCGTCGGCGCCGCCGCACCGCGCACGTGAGCGCCGTGCGCCACCAGCCGACCGGCAGGGCGACGGCCGGCCGGCCGGTCAGCTCCGATCAAGCCGTCTGATCGGTCAACACTTGACAAGTAGCACACGGCGGGCAGATTGGGAGGCGACGGGCACTGCATGGCCGGAGAGCGGCCCAGGTCCTCGAGATAGTGTCGCGCCCGATAGCTGAAACGCTTGAACCCACCTGAAACCGGTCACTCGCCGTGCTCACGCTGGACGCCCCCAGTCGTAGTGTGAGGCGCGCGCTCGGCCGTCTGAGAAGGAAGACAGACGCAGTTGACCTGCACTGTCCAGCTGCCGCCGGGGCTGTGAGTAACGCTATGCATAAGCTTGCACAGTTTATTGTCTTAGGTGTATCGCATTGGCCATTGGTGTTTCAGGTGGGATTATGTTCTCGACTGAACAAAGCAATAAAACACAATCCTCCTTGCACAGTACTTAGATCGTGCTGAATTTACAATCTTCGAGGCTAGATTACACTTGAAAGTAAAAGCAACTGACGCACCCTTTGATGAGTGGATAGGTACGGGTTTTGATTCCCCGCGGTGCCCACCCTCCCTGCCAGGTTGAGAGGCAAGCGACGCCACATAGCTTCAGCGACAGAGCGTGTCGTAAAGCCCAATGCCACACACACCTGAGTGGGCTGACAGACTTCGAGTTCCAATCGTTTCGGGTTTTCGCCATGCATGACGAGCTATACTGCCGCCTCAGCATGACATCGACATTGACATCATCGCTGACAAGGCACTGTGATTCCTCCTTTTCAAAGCACGAACGCCCTGCTGCGGACTCGCTGAGTCGGAATGTCGTAAATGCACACTTGCCGTGACACTTGTGGATTCCTTTAGCGGGGGCTGCCGAGCCGGCGACATCCAGGGGCGACGCTCACAGCTGCTGCCCCGCGCGGTCGCGTCGCGCCCCTGACAGCCGCACTTGCCGACGCCCCGCCGGGGAGAACGCGTTCGAAGAAAGGCACGTTTCTGGTGCGCATCTTGTACACGGGGATACACTTGAAGCGTACACGGGGATACACCCAAGGTTTAGTCAGACAACTGTCGGTTTCACGACTGTAAGGATTTCATTGACATTCCATGATTTGAACGATTAGCGGTCGTAATAATTATGGTCAGTGGGTTAGCGGCAGAGGAAAGTGGCGCATGTCCTGCTTATTTCGCAACACCATTTGGTCTCTTTGCAGCACAACAAACCTGAATTTACACCCGTCCTACCCTTTCAAATTGTTAAGTGTCAGCGCATTCGCCGCAGGGAGCGGTCATGTTCAGCTGGCTGGCGCGGGCTGGACTGGCGGGCCCACTGATTCGCGTTAGAACCTTCTGGACACTCCCTCACCCCGCCCACCAGAATCTGACACGCCCTGTCCCAACCTGCCCGCCAGAACATCGTGAACATGTCGTCGGAAGTGATTCTGGTGACCGGCGGTGCTGGCTTCGTCGGGTCACACACAGTGCTCGAGCTTCTCAACGCCAATTGGAGCGTCGTGGTGATCGACAATCTCGTTAACGCTGCCAAAGGTATGCTCCTTTTCTAGATTTGTTCTTTACTGCAATGCACTGTACTGGAAAGTGTTGTCAGTCATTTTACGTTTTATTTTGAGACCAACAGTGGAATGTAGCTCCGAGTCCTGTTGCGAGTGAAATAATTGTTGGGTTGCAATGGTGTGTAAGTGTTGTAAAAATGAACGGCAAACTCATTGCATTGCAGTCATGTTTATTTTTTTGACCATGTGCATTGTCAGAGCACTATTGGGTGCCGTTATACCATGATATATAGTTTATGTATCTACTACATTTGATAGGATCGTTTCTTTCTAGAAAGGACGACTGTGTACAGGTCGTAAATGTACTGTCTGCGTATGCAGAAGGGAGAGTGTCGTACACTGGACTGAATGGAATGAGTGACTGGGTTCAAAATACTCCCGGCATAAACTCTTCACCATCCGCCAGGTGGCTCCAAGCCGGCCAGCCTGGAACGGGTGGAGAAGTTAACTGGCAAGAAGGTCGAGTTTCACGAGGCAAACCTCCTGGACCGATCAGCTCTCACCAGGGTCTTCAAGCTGGTGAGACAGGGTGCCCAGCATGGATATACCGGAGATGACAATCAGTGGTGAAAGGGGCGCCTCAGCACCCACATTATGATTATAACAAAACACCCGGGACATGCAAATGCTTCAAGGATGTCTTGCCAGGTTAAAATATGATGGCAACGCTCCTTAATTAACGTTTTAAGTTCCGGGAAACATCTTCAGGTCCCTTCTCTCTTCAGTCGCCACTTCATTCTTAATCCTCATAACGCCCAGATAAGATGCCCCAGGTCTCTCCAGGGCTGCAGGACATACTGCGGCCGTCAGCCACGAGCCGGCTTAAGTGACGCCCTGGCGGGAGCCCCGCCCGAGCGCCCGCACAAACCCCAGAGGACGGTCCCTGCGCGGGGTTAGTAGTTAGGGTTAGCAGTGGGCCACGAAGGTCATGGTATTGTCCCACCACCTACCGTCCTACTCAATCCTATAGCCCCAGAACGACAATTGCTGGTCAAGAGGGCCTTAATCCGAGCCAAAGAAAACAAAAGCAAGGTTTGTTAAAAGTAATTAGCCCGGCAATTTTATTTGCCGGTAATGGACAAGTGCTTTGTGGTGTCGCAGTGCCGCTCGAGTAACCCAACCTTGAAAACGCACAGCAAACAGGCGTGCCCACATGATCCGAACGTATTCGGGGCAGCAGTGGGAGTGGAAAAGCACCAGAAACTGACGCGACCAATGCCGATTTGGAAATCGATATATCCATGCATCGCTATGGGGTTAATGTTAAATATACCCAAAACGTTTGGGGCACGTCCTCCTATCTCTATCGTGACCGCCTGTTTCAGTACACCATCCACACAGTCATTCACTTCGCCGCTCTGAAGGCCGTGGGCGAGTCAGTAGAGAAACCTCTAGAATACTACAAGAACAACATAAACGGCACTACCACGCTGCTCGAGGTGAGCGAAACGTCTTGAGCATGCAAATACTTGGTAACTTTGATAGAGACATGAGCTCATTAGTGTTTTATTTTGCCACTTTTTAGCATTCTTGGCTTGTTGACTATTTCCACACCGTAGGATGTGACGCTTACATCAATACGTAACACGTTCACATTGCACTGATGTCGAATTTATTGAGCTGTACGTGACTAGCTTAATTGTCATTAGATGTTATTAGATAAGATATAATGTTACATTTTGAGACGTCCTGAGCCCCGCGCTTTTCAACATGATACATGGTGGCGCTGAGCAGTGACCCCGTGACCTGTAGTCCAGTGACCTGACCTGCTCGTGGCCGCCGGCAGGTGATGAGGGAGAAGGGCGTCAAGTCGCTGATATTCTCGTCGTCTGCCACTGTGTACGGCTGTCCCAAGTACCTCCCGGTCGACGAGAAACACCCCACCGGCGTGGCCATCACGAACCCGTACGGCCGCACCAAGTACTTCGTGGAGGAGATACTCAAGGACCTGTGCGCTGCCGAAAAGGTGGGCGAATCTGCTGCCACGGTGGCCGGGTCCACGTCGCCAACTGGTCTGTGTGGGGTTGGGGTGCGTGGAGACCTCGGGCAGCCGTTGGGAGCCTTGTCACAAGCACGGTCGACCCGCCGACCTGGCCCGCTCCGCCGTCTATCGGGCGTGCCGCGCTGCCGCAGGACTGGAGCGTCACGCTGCTGCGCTACTTCAACCCGGTGGGCGCCCACGAGTCGGGGGACATCGGCGAGGACCCGAGCGGGCCGCCCAACAACCTGATGCCGTACGTGTCTCAGGTGGCCGTGGGCCGCCGGCCGCAGCTGCAGGTGTTTGGCGGCGACTACGACACGCCAGACGGCACAGGTAGGCAGGCGTCGGCCGCACACACAGGGGCCTGGGGTCGTCTGAGGTGCCGGTGGGTGTCATGACATCACTACTCAAGTACTACAGTACTACAGTACTACTCATGTACATCAGTACTACAGCAGCTCTTGCCTACAGGTGTGCTACGATATCAGTTTTACACGACATTACTTCAGCTGCCAAAACACATACACTACGTGAGTGCTATACGACAAACTTATGCTGCAAAAACTTTATCAGGCATTACTTTTACAGCATAAATCTTTGAAGTAAAATTAATGCCGTATATACGCAAAGGCTGTATAAGCTTTTGCAGTAGACGCAATGCCTGGTATAAGTTTTTAAAGCATAAGTTGTGTCGTGTAGCACTAATGTCACGTATAGGTTTTTGCATCAAAAGTAAAGTCGCATAGAAGTAATGACTGCATGTGTTTTGCAGTAGAAGTAATGACGAGTGTAAACTTTTGCAGTAACAGTTTTGTCGCGTAGCACTAATGTGTATTTGCATTGGCAACAGAATTAATGTCGTAGCACTCCTGTCGGTAGTTTTTGCTGTAGCATTAAAGTGGTGGAACCGGGCCGGTGATGGCCGCAAACGCAGCGGCGTGTGAGGTCACCCCAGGGTCGCTCCAGGGCGCAGCGTTGGGGCACAAACCTGCAGCGGTGTTCTGTATCTACATGGTGGGGGAGGGGGCAATGACGTATGCTGATGTCTTTGAGAACCATGCAAAAAGGGCGTACAACGAGCCGAGCTACGTAGCTCCCCTGCTTTATCAGACACGTCAAATGACAATCGGTACAGCACATCGACTGCCCAATACACCAGTTCCAAACTCATTTCCAGACCACCGGCATAGATGTGTTCCGGTCACGTAACTGCCTGACCTTGATCCGGAAATATGCTCGGCAGGCGTGCGTGACTATCTGCACGTGGTGGACCTGGCCCGTGGCCACCTGGCAGCGCTGCCCAAGGTGTCCATACCGGGCTGCCACATCTACAACCTTGGCACGGGCAGCGGCTACTCTGTTCTGCAGGTGATAGACGCTTTCCAAAGAGCCTCGCGACAGAAGATAAAATACCAGGTAAGATACATGCCAGGTGCCGTGATGCGCGTTTCATGTGCGTGTTATCCTTGCACAAGTCCGTGCTTTTCGAAATAACAAAGCCGCTTTGCTTGATTGCGAGCCAATATAGGAAATTCATTTTTAGATTGAAGCCATTTGTCGACAGTTTACAATCCTCCCAGTTCTGAAGGTATGGAGCACTAATGAAGATTGCTATCGCGATTTTAAATGATAGCCATCATGCGGTTTTGGGCAACGGTCTGCCGGGATAAGAGGGTGGATTACCAGTGAAATTCAACCAAACCCAACAGTCTGCAGTTGTACTGGCAGCCCATAGTCACAGGCGTTTCGGTGACCCAACGACACATTCTTCCTCAATGTTTAACAGGATTGGCTGTTCGGTTTCGGTTTCGATAAGCGACGCCTGGTTGTGAACACAGCAGACGGCGAACCGTTCCGTATCAATTTTATCCCGTCTCTCGCGACTCAGCTCATGCATGTTTACATTCAGGTAGTAACGTATCGATTGGAAAGCTTCTCTTTTTGTGACCAGCCTGCCTCGAGATAGCCCGAGCTGTGCCAGGGTCTCTGATCGTGGACGGCGCGTCCGCTCGTTGCCGTGTCGCGCTGCGACCATGTCCGCTGCCCGCCCGGGACCGAGGGCTGACGCGCCGCGCCGCGCCGCTCCGCAGGTGGTGGCTCGACGACCAGGCGATGTGGCCTCTCTGTACGCCGACTGCTCGCTCGCCGAGCGCGAGCTCGGCTGGCGCGCACAGCTGTCGCTCGACGACATGTGCGCCTCCGCCTGGCGGTGGCAGCAGAAGAACAAGTACGGCTTCTCGCCACCGTCCGATGGTGGCGCTGATCACTGAGGCGGCCGCCGCTGACTGACGGCCAGCGCGCGGGGCAGCCTCTCCGGGTTCGCCACCATCAGCTAGTGATGAGCGCTTAGAGCCGCACAACCCATGTCGAGCATATCGTCGATGACGACCTTCCGGCGGCCTCGTGGCTTACAATGTTGAGTCACTTGAACGGTGTACAACTGATCATCAGTCCCGGGCTATGGGTGGCGGAATGCCTGTAGACACTGCACAGCGAGGACCAGTGGCCTGAAACATGCATAGCTAGTGTAGACAGACCGTGTGTTGCACATGAAACCATCCTTTAAGGCGGTTTGTATCAAGCCACTTGTGTATATTCCCACAGTGCAGGGCACTACTGCGCGCGGTGCAGTGTGAATTGTTAGAAGCTGGTAGCCCATCCAGCCGGGAATCGTGTAGCCCTAGTAGGGTTGATTTGCTGCCATGCCGACCAGTGCTGACGTTGACGTGATCACAGCGTCGTTATAGTTGAAGCTGTCTCTCAGTGGTAATGGACGAGCGAGCGTTGGTGCTGCGTCGAGGCCTTATCGTGCAACATGCAAATATACCTCAACGAGGAAGTTAGTCCAACTTTGACACCGTCAAAGTATTGTCGTGTTAAGTGCATGGTAGGTGGTGGACGTGTGCATAGAGTTAGGCGCGATTTAGTGGCGATCAAAGCGAGAATTTCGCCAAGGTGAATGCTCACATGTGTTCAAGATGCGAACGAATATAAAAGCGCGGTGCTGTTGTCATTTTGTGTGAAAACACATAGGTGTGTTTCTGTCATTGGGGCTAACGACGCACTCAGCTGCTGCGGCTATATGGCGTCACCTGCCTCTCGCCCTGCCAGGAAGGGCGGGCATCGCGGGGAATCGAACCCCGAGTCTCTGGTTTTCCAGACGCGCAGTGGCTGACGCGGACCCGTTAGCTGCTGCACTGCCCGCACCCCCGAAAACACATGCAAATATCATAATTTAAGCTAAAAACAAGCTCCATATGACGTCATAACGCACTTGACGCTACCCTGATGTACAGCTACAGCCCGCGGCGGGTCGACCACGTGACTCGCCCCAGGAACGGACTGGGTCCCCAGGATGCACATGAAGCGCGCCGTCGCGTGCAGGGAAACACATCAGGCGAGCCCAACATCGCGCTCTCAGTTTATAACTGCCTCGTACTGCGTATCTGCACTTGGTTCCATTTGGCTGCATCCGTCATTTGTGATGCCAGAAATGATTTGGATCACAAGTGCAATGCAATTGTGAAAGGTCGAGCCCTTTTCAGTTTTCTAGCTACCGCGCGACGATGTGACAGGACTACCATATTGGCTAGGTAGTAAACGTGTGAACCAGTCAAACCCTTCTCTCTCATGCTTGCCCGCTGCGGCGCCGGTGCACGAGCGATCACCTGGTCTTGCTGTCCCTCACCGCGAACCAATTGTGAAACTCCGCATTCAATCCAGTATCTTTGTCATGGTGGTCAACGTGGGAGATGCAAACTATGCGCATGCAGAGCGTTATGAACAGTATACATGTTCTCATGAACATCTCATAAATTAGAAGGTAGGCGTCTAGGTACGCATCCACTCGTGGGCTAAATATTCCAACAGAACTCCTGGCGTAGACTGAAGGTGAGGCACAATATGTCTTTCGAAATCACGAACCGTTGTAGAATGCGGACGTAATATATTGAAAGTTCAGACGAGTAACATATCCTCATTATTACAAAATCAAGGCAAAAGCAAGCATACCCTTTCAGGCACCGGCCATTACCTACACCTTACCACCAAAACCCTTCACAATGGCTCTTTTATACGTAATAAAGACACAGCCAATCAACCATCTAATAAACCACCACAACCTACTAACTAATCCTTGACAAGTGACGGGTGGCCAAAGCAGTACCCTGAAATACGGCTACAGTAGCGTGCATCGTTATCAAAAAGGCTCAAAAACATAGCCCCATTTAAGGCAGATTCGTCTGACCAAATGCCCACCGGATTTTGCACCCCATACTCGGAGCGTGCCCATGTTAAGGCCACGTACGATCCGAGGCATCACAAAGTTAGTCTACAATGGCCCAGCTGCCTCAAGGATTTCAGTTCTGACAAGGACACATGTTTCCCACTGGTGTACACCACCGATCTCACAACAGCACTGGGACAGCAAAAATAATTCCTTCCTTGGACGAAGCCCTAGTGCCATCAAATGACCAAACCGCCCGGGCCAAAAACTATTGTCATTCGGTGGTCAGTTCTCTGGATCGCCGCGTACAAAGTAAAAAGGGGTCACAGCGGCGCGGCGCCACGAATATTGCGCAGTCGGTGGTGTGACCTTACGATGCCCCGGGCAACAACACACGGGCCTCACGTCAGTGGTGCACGTCCACTGGCGTGATCGCCGCGAAGAGATCCCGCGCCCGGTGTCGTGAGTTCAGGCCCCCACACGGCGGTGGCGAGCGGGCCGGGCGCACCCCGAGGCTGGCGCCCGCCCGCTGTGCCGACCGTCGGGCTAGTCGCTCCGCGGCGGCGGCGTCTTCAGCAGGCCGCGGCGGCGCAGCGAGCGCACGATGAAGGGCGTGCAGGCGAGCGTGGTGGCGATCCGGGCCGGCGCGAACACCTTGTGCACGGCGTAGGCGAGCACGAACGTGCTGCCGCCCGTCACCAGCTTGCTCTGCGCCAGACTGTCGCCGAGGCCGACCCAGCGCAGCAGGCCGACCACGTCCAGACCGCTGCCGGGCAGAGCGGCGCACCGCCGTCAGTACGGGCAACACGCTCCGGCACGCAGGGGTGGAGGCTGCAGGGACACGCTCCGGGCCACTGGCTGGCGAAGGCAGGCGGAGACGGAGACACCGGCTCCACACCGCTGGCGGTCGCAGAACGCAGCTGCAGTCAGGGGAAACTGACTCCGATCGACGGTGGGCACAGAGAGGGGCTGTGGTCACGAGCGACAGGCTCCCGAAACAGTGACACGACACTGGGGGCTGCCGTCAGGAGGAAAGCAGAATATTCCGGACCAATAGTGACCAAAGATAGAAACTACAGCAGGCTCCAAGCATCTGGTGAACATGGCGATAAACTAGGGTCGGGGAACAGGCTACGGAAAATGACGAGATTTGGTGTCGAGACAAGCAGACAAACGTAACCCGCACGCCTTACGCAGCACGGGACGAGCGAAAAGACAACATATGCGAGAGTCACTGGTTGCCATCGTGTACATGCCAGACACTGAGCCCATGGGCCTAGACACATTAAGCAGATGATACCATTGTGCTAGATCCCTGCTCCGGAAAATACATTTCCTTCGAGCCTTGACATGCGCAGGTCCATAGATGTAGTATTCGCACGCGAAATCATAACGACTTACCGCTTGAAAAATGCTTGTTTATAATTACAGCCAGGCTCAACAAATTCAATCGACAAATATGGATTTGCAATGATTTACGGTTGTGACCCTTGCGACCAAAAATTTGCGACAAACACGCAAAAAATTGGACGCCTATTGACCGCAATGACTTAAGCGTCCCTGTTGCCTTAATGACCTCTCTCGGTATACACCACAGCATTACATTCGAGCTGGATCTCAAACACAACGACATTGGTTGCTTCTCCGCTCGATGGCTGACCCGTTAGTGAGCTGTGACCGGCAGATTAGCCCACACTCATCTGTATTCAATGCACGGGGTGCACACTGTGCATTGGCCTCCTGTCACCGTCAGCTATGTTTGTTGAGATCTGACAGGAATCCTCAAGCCCCCCCCCCCCAAAAAAAAACCGGACAGCTTATGGTTTACGCACGACAGCACGTGCACGTGCACGTGCTGCACTGCACACATCGATCCACACCTTCGACGGAACGACTGTCCGTTTTCTTCTACTTAAGAATTGGATAATATCGTGCCACTGCAACACTGACTCGGCGAGGTCTGAATCCATCTTCGACACGTGTCCTTCAACTATTTTGCAACTAGAAAATCACCTTGTCCATGTTAAACGAGCTCGAGCGTGGGACGGGGAACAATTTGGCCCCAGCCCCTAACGTTTTTACCGAATAACCTCAGAACAGAGCGCCGTAGCCACGCCCAACACCGTACAACTGTGGACTATTCGTGTCCGATCATTTGGTATGACAAAAGAGATACGCTAAAGGTCACTGACCTGTAGCGGGACAAAATAAAGTCATGGATGTCAGCGAAGGCAATTCCGAGGACAGCTCCCCAGCTGATGATGCAATTAAATATTGCAATACACGTTTGAGAAGGTTTCTCCGGTAATTACCTGATAGAAATTAGGATCCTGACTTACATTAACCTCGGGTTAGACATGAAAGTTTAACAAATGCCAAAACTAGACCGCCATTTACGGAGAGACTTCATGTAAGCACTTGCTGCAAGAGGCAGTTTTCGACGCCACTTTGTAACTCCTTTATCACAAGAACCTCAAGATTCCTTATTTTTGACGTCATGAAAGTCCGAGGAGGATACTGTCCTAAAATGGTCTGAATGGACCAATCTTTTCCTTTCAGGACCATTTCTTAAACCTGATTGCACATTCAAATATCAAAATAATCTCAAAAGATTCAGGCCATTTTGACGTGATGAAGATGCAAAGTCGTGGTGATAATGCAACGCTGCGGGGAAAACAGATCAGTCGATTTGTAGCAAATGCCTGACAACCTACACGTGCAAACTTTTCCATAATAGCGCTTATTATTGCTGAAAGCTGCATAAACGTGCGATCTGCGGCCGCACACTACATAACTGACCGGACAAAATGACATCTTTGATGTTTATAGGATCGAAATGTCCCAGGTAGCATGACACCACGCTATAATGTAATGTGTAACATGGGAAGACTTTTTCGGGCAGAATGTTTCAAGGTCACCTTGACATTCATGGCGTCATAATAACGTCATTCAAACTCTACCATTTCAAAAACCATGCGGCGGTCAAAGGAAATAAAAATGTAATGGCCGAGGGAATTACATCTGGCGTTCGTGAGCGCGGTTTCCAGGTAAGACGGCCGTCAGTTGGCTCTGAACCAATGTTGTGAAAGGTACGATGACGTAACCAACTTATGACGTATCGAGCAGCATACCTATTAAACAGAAGAATTGCTTTGTGTATAGCAGTCTTCCCCACCTAAAAATATTCCATCAGTTAAAGGTGAGCTTCTTCATCATGTGTCATGCTTGCTTCGACATCTTCAAATGTGAAACAATATCTCTATAGGGAATGCTCCACATTTATACGGGGTTTTGAAATGAAATGGCCATTTTGAAGACCCCTCGGTGCTGTTCACAACGCTTCTTAAGACCTAAGGCCCCCTAGTTTCCGAGCAGCACGCCGCGAAAATGGGGAGAGCATTTCTAAAAGAGTATTTATCACCTTGGCATTCATGACGTCATAATAACGCCATCCATATCCTGCCATTCCGTACGCCATGAAGCGATCGAGGCCAAGAAAAAACATAACTGTCGATGCGTTCATTTCTGGTGTTTGCGGACACGATTTCCAGATACACGGCCGCTAGTTGGCTCTCAATAAATGTTGTGCCAGGTATGATGACGTAATCAAACCATGACACATTGAGGAGCCTATTTACTGAATAAGGAATTGTGCTGTCTAGAATAGTCTTTTTTCACTTAAAAAGCATACACATAGTTAAAAAATGAGCTTGTCTCGTCATGCCTGATGCTTGCTTCCATATCTTCAAATATGAGACATGCCCTTTCAGTGGGCAGAGCGTTT